TCTCTGTGTAGTCCTGGAACTCATTTTGTAGACCAGCCTGGCCATGAACTCACTGAGATCCTCCTGCCTCTGTCTCCCAAGTGCTGGGATTAAAGGTGTGCACCACCACCACCTGACCCTGACTCTGAGCTTTTATTATTAAAACCTAAGAGAACTTGTATTACAGACCACAGCAACTCTTATAAAGGAAACATTTAATTGTGGTGGCTCACAGTTTCAGAGATTCATCCATTATCATCATGTCAGGGAGTATGACAACATGCAGGCAGACGTGGTGCTGGAGTTGACAGTCCTTACATTTTGACTCAGAGGCAACAAGAAGTTGACTGACTGTCACCCTGAGGGAGGCTTGAGAAAAAGATACCTCACAGTCTGCCCAACAGTGACACACTTCCTCCAACAAGGCCACGCTTCCTAATAGTGCCACTCCCTTTGGGGGTCATTTTCTTTCAAAACACAACACCTTTTTAAAATTTCTTTTTGTTTTGCTTCCTTTCTTTATACTTTTCCCTTATTTTCCTCTTCCCTTTCCTTTGCCTTGCTGTGTAGATGGCTTATTTGGAACTCATCTTGCAGTTGGCTGTGCTCAAATTTGGGAAATCCTAGGCATGCATTACTGTGCCTGGTTAGATATATCTTTTATAGACTTTAAGATTGTATCAATAACCCATTTATTGGAAAAAAATCTTGAGTCTTTTTCTTTCTTTGCTGTTTTGTTAAGAAATAACCAGTGTTATAGAAACATAATCATAAAAGCTATGTGGGAAAACTATATTTTCTTAGTGGAAACAGGTACATTATTATTTTTAAAAAATTAGGCTTATTTTGTTTTATGTATTTGAGTGCTTTACTTGCATGTATGTATGTGTACCATGTGTGTGCCTGGTGCTCAACTAGTTCACAAGAGGGCATCAAATTTCAAACTGGAGTAACAGGAAGTAATGACCCCCATGTAGAGTTGGGACTGAACTGAGCCCTCTGGAAGAACAAGCGCTCTTAACCACTGAACCATCTCCCCAGCCCACAATTATTATTTTTTTTTCAGATAGGGTTTTACTTGATAGCCCAGGTTTTCCTGTGTTCCCTATGGATACCAGGCTGGCCTTGAACTCACAAACATCTATCTTCCTATGCCTCCTGAGTTCTGGGATTCAAGGCATGTGTCACTGTGCCTAGCAATAAGCTCTTTATTTAAATGGTATGTCACCTTGTTTACATAACATGTTAAGCTTCAAGATAAAG